CGTCTGAGTATATGCAGCAAGGACTCGAGGATACAACGGCTCTAAGGTAGCCCTACTGTTAGGGAGAGAGAGGTTGGGAGAGGCCCAGCATCCGATTATGTCGCGTTGGCAACCATCGCACCATTTCTCGGTTATGCGGGCCTGGGCAATTGGGATATTCATCATTCGTAGCTCGACCTGGTGTGTTGGTAGAGCACTGTGCTTCCACTCTGAACACCCAGGTTCGATTCAGGCTTTTGTCCTGATAATTAAACTCGAATGATGCTTTATCCAATTGCCCCTCTCTCCCAATCTCCTGTGTACAGGCGGCTTCACGTGCATTTAATAGCGGATAATTAGGGACACTGATCACACAGTAAGGGATATATCCCGTTATCTCACCACGCACCGAGGTTTTCGACACCCATCAATGCATGGCCGAATTTCGCATAGCTCCCTTTCGCCACTCTAAGAGACGTCTCGGCATCAGCTAGAATGCGTCACTACACACATGCTCGAGTCGAAGAGAAACAAATCGAACGTCATCGATGCTGATAATGACATACTTTTCTCGTGTGATACTCTCTCATCAGTATCCTAGCTATTGCACTAGCCGGGACCTATCCTATATGGCTTTCTGACGAATTGTGGGGTATTTTGCAGTGTTCGGTGTATTTTTTGTCACTCACCTACACGCTCGAACCGTACCCATTTTTCCATTGGCACTGGAGCATGAAATACTTCCACAGCCTCACAACACGAGTGTTGTCGCGAACTACGTGAACAGCTCACGCTGTGTACGACTGACCTAACCAACGATGCTTGGTGAATCACCATCAGATGGGACCCACCCACTGTACATAACAAAACATACATGGATACCACAGAAACATCGATGGCATCTACCATGGGCCCCCAAGGACAGTCATCTTGGTAGCTCAGACGTTATGTCTCGACCCTTCTCGAGCGCTTGCTCCCACTCGACCAGCCTGGCGCAACCTTCTATAACGGCATCGGCTATTTCGACTTCACTACGTCCCAAGACGTCGAGATTCCCGACAAACAAAGTGTGATGAAACTTATCGCCTTGCGTGTTCCCAGCGGCTTTGAGTCCGATTCTACGGATGATTCGCTCGAAATCAGGTCTGCCGATCATATTGGGGATCCTCATCTCTACTGAGATGTGCAGTCCAGTGCCAAGGTTGTCGAGGTGTGACGAGAGGTACCCGAGACGATCGTTATGCATCAACTCCCGATTCTGAGACGCAAGCGAAGCCTCGAAGGTGCGGAGGGCTTCGGAGAGCTCGGCAAAGCATGCTCTGACACCATCCCCTTTCCGGGTCGAAATGAACTCCAAGTGCTCCACATTGTTAACCAGAACTCTGAGATCATCTGTATCATTATGGAATACACCTCGAGCATCAGGCCAGTGCCGGCCGACCCCGGAAGAGAGCAAAGGCCCCGACTCAGGGTGGGTGATATCCTCCTCCTTGTTGTGAGTTTCATCAGTGCCATTATTCTCAGTGGAAAAACTCCGACTCCCGACCAGAGGTCTGTAGTAACCACGGAGATGTATGGGGAAGGTCTTCAAAGCCTGCACGGCCAACCTCTCTACGTCTCGGCGTTCTTGGAAGGATATGCTCGGCGGTAGTCTGTACCCTCGGATCGATCGCACGATGCTCACACGGGAAGAAAGAACGTATCTTGCAACGCGGTGTCCGACACATCTCTTGTCAAAGGCGAATTGTGAGGAGGCGAGTGATTAGAGTAAATTACTCGCCTTGTCAATTCCGGCGGTCCCAAAACGACGAAAGAGGGTCCGAGTTGAATACACCTACTTTGCTGTAGGATCGATTTGCGTCTTGGATATCTTATAAGGGTCGAGATCGTTGGTGTGCTTAGCATGCGGTGGGAAGCCACAGTGCCAGCGATCAATGATAGTGTCAAATCTGATAGAAAAAACGGAAACCAAAAAGTGTGAGGTGGAGTATTACAGCCCTTTGAAGACTTCGTAGCTTTCTTCATCTCCAGCTATGATGCCGACCTTCCCCCCATCTGCCTGACTGGGATTATCCATACCACTCTTTATACA